GTAAAAAAAACAAAAGGAAAAAAGAGTAGATACATAGACATAACGTGTTAGAGGCATTGTATACATGTGGTCAGCACTGTGTCCAGCACACAGTAAATGCTCAAAAGTTGTTAGCTAATATCATCTCATTTAATCCTCATCACGACAAATCCACTCTCCTGTGTTATTTTCGTCTCTTCTCTCTCACTTTAGGGTGCTCCAGCATTCAATCCTCTGTTCTCTTTTCTACTTACCTTGGGTGTTCTCACCTGTTCTTGTTCACGTGGTTCTCTCCCAGTTCTGGCCTCTCCGCTGAACTGCAGACTGCTCGTTCAAATGAATGTTTAACAGGCATCTCAAGCTTGCAACTCCCCTTCTCACAAGCTTCTCAATCTCCATCTCAAGAAATAACAAATCCTTTCTTGTAGTTGTTCAAGCCCAAATCATTGGAGTTATCTTCACTTTTCCCTTTCTTTTTCATTTTACATGTGACCTCTCAGCACATCCTATCCTCTCTACTTTCAAAATATATCTAGAATCTCTCCACTTGTCCCCACCTCCACTTGTATCACCTTGACTTTAGCCACCATCATGTCTCAGCTTAATTACAGAAAAGGCCTCTTCCCTGCCCTCACCCTTGCCCTCTATAGCCTAGCCTCAAAATAGCTGCCAAAGTAATGCCACTAAAATATAATGTCACTTTGTTACTTAAAATGCTCAAAGATCCCTAAGTCACTCAGAGTAAAGCCAGAGCCTTTACAATGCCCTGCAAGACCTACATGACCACTGATCTCGCATACTATTCTTCCACGTATTCTCTTGGCTCCTTGTGTCCATACTGGCTCACTGGTCCCCTGGCACTTACCGTCTCCTGGAACTGTCTTCCCTTAGATACATACGTGGCCCACCCATTCATTTCTTTCAGGCTGCCACTCAAATAGCTTCGTCTCAGAGAAGCCTTCTCTCAATCATCTGAACACTTCTCTTGACACTTCCTGTTCCTTCTCCTTCTCTGTTTTATTTTTCTCCTTAGCACTTATCACTATCTAAAATTGGGTACAGTTTATTTTTTATCGTCTTTACTGTCTCCCTAATTAAAATGTAAGTTCCTTGTGGGCAAAGTTCTCTAATTGTTTTCTCTGCTCTACCCTCAAGCATCTAGAATAGTGTCTGGCACATAACAGCACACAGTAAATTTTTGTTGAATGAATGAATAAAATGTTAGCTGTTATTTTTTATAGTCCCAAGTATAATGTCAAGATGAAAAAGATGGTACAAGGTAAGAAAATTATACCCATATGATTACAAGTTTATTGTACATAATACAGTGAATTTTTCTGAAAAAAATGTATCAAACAATGTTTAAAAATCAAAATATTTAAACTGCTAGCAACATTTATATTTCAAAGACTCTGTGATTGCTTCTCTGTATAAAACAAAGGACTTTTAAAAAATTATTTTCATAATTTCCCCCAATACAGCCCCTATAAGTTAAATATTTTGTCAAGTTTTCTTACTTCAAAATACGCTTATCTGAAATGTGTAAAAATAAACAAAACAGGTAGCCTTTGAACTTTACACTAGTCCATTTTAATTCTAAAATAAATTACCAAGAAACCTAATGGAAACTCTCAAAGACATTAGTGAGACACTTGGGCTACTGTACATAGTTCTAGCCTCCTAACATCCCTCACCTCCCCCACGAAATCCACAAACAACTTGATATATTTGCAAAGGGCCCCCTAGGGGGCACTGTTGCCCCCATTGAGAACCAGTGCTCTATGGATGGAATACTTCCTTTCCCTCTTCTTCACTGTTTTTGGACCTTAGCTCCTCTGATGGTAGTGCAGAATGGAGAAAGAGGTAAAGGGCAAATATCTTCTGCTTAACGGGGGTATGTTTCTCCCCGGGGTTAGCTGTAACTGCTACCTTAGCCTGTTGTTTTGAGTCTTGAGTCCTCCTTTTATATTCTGGTGAAGGTAGGGGTGGGGATGCTCGGTAATAGCGCCAGTAATCTGATCTAGCCCCTCTTAGGACTTCTTGTGGAGAGGTGGCCCAACCTGACGGCTTAGATATGAGCGGCCCAGGTTGGGAGCAGGGGGAAGCTTGGGGATAGAGAGTAAATTAGATGAGGTTATATCTGAATCCTTTTAAACCCTTGACTTCAAAACAACTTTGAGCATCTGAACTCTCCATGAGACGATATATGCTGCCCTTCTCTGTGGGTCTGGGTGTCCTTGAGGGAAGTGAGAGTTGTGATCCTCACTCTTTAAATTTTCTCATGCAAGACATGTGGCATCAAATTTGTCAAGCATTCTCGAATTTTCTAGGATTGATCTCCACCAAATGAAGTGTGTTTGACTTAAAATACTATTAAACATGGTGAATCACAGCATTTTAGAGTTAAGAAATCATTTGTTAATAAAATGAAGTTAAATGCCTTGCACTTTTCTCTATGTCTAGGTATATATTTGTGACATAGCTTGCAAGTGTCTTTATCAACACTTCATGATTCTCTTCTGTATACCTAACAATATACAGGGCAATAGGCAGTAGTAAGGAGATAAAGTTACAAAAGATATGGATGCTCTTATAAAGATCCTTACAATCTACAGTGTCTTAGATTTCTTAAAAGTAGAGCCTAAGACAAGGATCCTTGTCCAAGTGATTTATCGAGGGTAAGCTCTCAGGGGAAACCTCTGAAGGAAGGAGGAAAGGAGGATGAAGCAGAAGTTAAGCAAAGGGATGGTTTCAGACGTCTAGCTTCATCCTGAACCCATGGGGAGTTCTGTAAGGTTCTCGATTACACCAAGGCTTTTCAGCCCAGAGGCAAGTGGTGTGGGCTGTTAGAACCCTACTTCAGCCAGCTATTTGCCACAGGTCACCCACAGGGGCCAGTTGAAGGTATAATCTCCAGACATCACCAGTTGAAGTGATTCCCATCAGCCAAGGACAAACCCGTGCAGAAGGTTTGCCCTTGACAGTCAACACCTACAGCTGCTGAGGGATGAATACCTCACCCTAGAAAGGGAGATCTGGGCAGGGCAGCACCATCAATGTCTACACATGGTTTTAAAGGAGCCAAATCATGTCCACATGATCCTGTAAGAGCTCTTATAAAGCCACCTGTCAGCCAGTGACATGTAAGACAGCACGGTCTGAAAGTCTAGAGGTACAGAGTAAGTGAGTAACCCAGCTAACATGTACTGAGTGCTTGCTCTGTGCTACATACTGTTATGCAGTCTTTATTCCTCTCAAGAAATCCATAACGTGGGTAATATTATTGCTTCTATTTCCTAGTAAACTGAGGCACAGAGGGGTTAAGTAACTTGGTCAGGGCCGTACAGCTAGCAAGTGCCAGGGAATGATCATTTTATTAGCAATAATATGGTATGGTTTCTCTGGAACAGAGAAGATGAAATTCTAAGCCCTACCCCAAATCAACACCTCTTAGGTTAGGCTCCTATTTTAACAAGTTCCTAAAGTGATTCTTATGCACACTGAAGTGTCAAAGCCATGGCCAATTGGAATATGTTTCCCAAGATGGAGAAAAGTTATACAAAGGACAATATCAACAGGCAAAAATCATCAGCAGAAATAGATGTTTGTGAATTTTATAGATATTCTGAAGGAAGTGAGAAGGAAGGTAAGAATAAAATTGAGATGGGCTCTCAAATACCAAAGGATATTTACACAGGAAGAAATAACCTTTCTGTTGTCATATTGTTTCTTAAAAAAAGAACAGATTGGCAAAAATAAAAAAATACAGGAAAGACTAGCTTTGGGTACCCATAGGGTGTTCTTTCCTACCTCTGGGCTGGCCTGATTAAATATCTGTCCCTAAAAATAAGTTAAACTACCTCTTTCCTAGACAAGAGTAGGTATTATAAAATTTGGAAAGGAAATAATGTTTCTTCAAAGGTTTTGGAAATGAAAACAAGGAAATATATACATACAAGTAAATAAGTTAATTGCTAATATATGATGAGCAGAGTATTTTCATGTAGATGTACAATGTTAAATTGTTCTCTGAAAGAGGATGTAGCCTGAATACGTCACTTTCATAAAAATACATTATTATAAAAATTGGACCAGACAAACAAAAAAGAGAGAGAGAGGATCAAAAAAGGAAAGATTATAAACATGATGCCACTTGGCTACAATGAAATATTTTCCATTTCCTACGGGTCCCACCAGGTACTGAACCATCTTTCCCAATGCCCATTGATCTAATGAAGGACAAGAGACTGCTAGGGGTGCAGAAGAAAGAGTCTATTCTTTTATGATGTACATTGATAGATCAGACTCACTATGTGCCCTTTAACCTGCTGTGGTTGCATCATTGCTATCCAATTCACTGTGACAGCTACACGCAAATTCCAGATATTGTTTGGAGAAACACTTCTAAGTAATATGCTAGTTTATTTCTGATCAACAGTGTTGTTTGTTTGCTATATTTCTATTCTGTTGGTTCATATTTCAATCCATAATTTATGAAGAACTTATAGTAACCCGTTGTATGGTTCTCTGTTAATGTGAGTTTATAATAGTCTAGTGATTTAGGGGCTTAATGAGCAGTCCTCAGAAATGACCTCAAACTAACTTAAATGGCATGAATCATATGGTGAAGGAATTTGGAGTTGGAGATGAGGGTTGGAAACCTAAATTTTTACACTGTGCAAAAAAGCAGGGAGAAGGAAGAGCTTTGGGTATTTAAGATTTTATACTGACTAAACTGACCTCTCCCCACAAACCTACTAGCAGGTGTTTAGAGTCAAGTGCTTGGTTTAATCATATTAATAAAGATTATACAGGAGCTTTAAAATCCCAAGGCTAGTGTGCAGTGCTAGAATTGCTCAGAGCATTCATGAGAAATCGATTCTCATAGGAAGTTAAATCAAAGAAAGAAACAGTTCACTTAGTAAGTTAAGGGCTGAGGCAAGGGTTGGCTCATGTTGACTTGAATCGAGTCCGGCAATTCAAATGTATGAACTAACCTTCCACCTTTTTGGTAGGCAAAAGATGCCAGTGATCAATATTGAGGACCTGACAGAAAAGGACAAGTTGAAGATGGAAGTTGATCAGCTCAAGAAAGAAGTAACGCTGGAAAGAATGCTGGTAAACTGCTGCTCTGTCTTGAATTTTAGTTTAAGCTAGAGATACTGGAGGATGACCAGGTTAGATACCATTGAAGGGGAGCAGACTGTGCCACCCCAAAATATGCCTCTTTGGCACAAGGATTATTTAGGCTGATTATTTTTAAGAAACAGCAGACACAGGAAAATCTCTGGACACCAAGTAAGTAGAAGTTACCCTTTTGGAAGAGACATTTACATTTATATGGGAAATCTCCATTTGTAAGGGTATCTCCCCCTCTGTACCAGGAAGAGAAGGATGACCAAATCTCTAGAAACGCCTATCAATGCAGAAGGCAAGGACTTAAATCTGCTTAACAACCTTACGTTTCTTTCCTGTGCTTTTCCTGGTCACCTCTCATCACTGGCTCCCCCACCTCTCAACATCTTCTTTCGTCTTTAGCTGGAGATGGTATTTAAGGTGGTGTCTTGGGCCATTTGGGGGAGTTACTCAGTTTTCTTGGGTATCTCCCATGTATACAGGAGGTATACATGTTATTAACCTTCTATTTGTTTTTCTCCTGGGTTAATCTGCCTTTTTTATTACAGGGATGCCTAGGCCAGAAGCAAAAAGGCTAGAGGAAAAATTACTTTTCCTCCCTGGCACCATTCACTGGGAAGGCTTAATGTAGCTAAAAATAAATTGTTCACATAAAAATTAATCAGGGATTGGGGCTGCTCGGTGGTGTAGCAGTTAAGTTCACACACTCCACTTTGGCAGCCCAGGGTTTGCAGGTTCAGATCCCAGGCGCAGACCTAGCACCGCTCATCAAGCCACATTGTGGCAGCATCCCACATAAAATAGAGGAAGACTGGCACAGATGTTAGCTCAGCGACAATCCTCTTGAAGCAAAAAAAGGAGGAAGATCAGCAACAGATGTCAACTCAGGGCCAATCTTCCTCACAAAAAAAAAGATTAAGGGATTAGTGAAGAATACGAGACAGAGACCATATTTAGCAGAGCAAGAAAGTGAAGCAATGCATATAGCTGTTTCATTTTTACTCTTTTAAATTGATAAGCTTCTCTTTATTTGATTTATTTGATATGGCTCAAATACTTTTAGCCAAGACCTCATCCCCTTCAGCACTGTCATGGCCAGTAATGAAGGAGTACGTTCTATTCCTTCTTTGCCAGTAAAAATGAGTTCAAGCCCAAGAACTCGCTGGTTCCTCCTATAAACATCTGACAGATCTTGGAAATGGTTACCAAGAGTTCTCCGCCTTTGGAAGGAGCAGAAATGGCAAAGAAATAAAAGTTTCCACCAAACAAAATGAAGCTTGGAAAAATGTAGATATGTATTTTAGATCTCTTCGTTTTAGGAAAGTTAGTAGAATAAAAACTCCTCCACAAAAGATAAGAGTATATTTTATGTTTCTTTTAAAAACTCATTTTATCGGGCCAAAGCGAAAAAAGGAGTTTGCATTATTTTCATATTTTGCTGAAAACTCTTACTCCCAATAAAAATTGGAATCCTGGCTCCTTTTATGTTTATAATTGTCTCAAACTTCCCTGCTGCCCTTCCCATACAGGCAAAACATGTTTTGCTGTCAAGATAAAATTAAACCTATAAGCAGCACAAAAGCTTGGAATACACACCAAAAGTTAAAATCCTTATCTTTATAACTTGGAGAAAATAAAATAAACTTTTGAGGTAAAGGAGAGTTATTTTCTCTTCTTTACTTGAAACTTCCAAAAGCTGTTTTATTATTTCTATACCCAGGATTGTTGTTTTGCAGGCAATTTGGTTATCTTTATTTCTATTACTCACTTGTGGCAAGCTCACCTGGGAATCTTTATTTTGGGTAAACATCACATACATCTCATCTGTCAGGTTTTGGGTTTCCTTCTCCCTATTACTCAATGTCTCCTTGGTCTGGAAGTCAAACTAATTTAATATCAGACTGCCAAAACTCTGCGCGCGCACACACACACACACACACGCGCGCGCGCGCGCGCACGCGCACGTAGAACTTCCAGGTCCTGAACCCATAGATCTGACGCAGCATGGCATAATGTCATTACCATATGGTTAAGTGGATAGACTCTGGAACCATACCCCTGGTTTAGATCCTGGCTCCACAACTTTCTCCCTGTGTAACATTCACCTAAGTTATCTAACTTACCTGTGCCTCTATTTCTTATTCTGTAAATGGGAATAGTAACAACACCTAATTCAGAGGGCAATTGGGAGAAATAAATGGAATAGCATGTAGAAAGCTTTGAGAACAATCCCTAGTAAATAGCAAGTGCTATCTATCATCATTTTTTTAATTAGTATTGATAACTATGAACCAGAATGATTTATAATATGCATCAACCTATTTTGCTGTCAAGGCACTAGTATTGTCAGAGTAAGACAACTCTTTGCATCCAGTTTCTAAAGCTGACAGATTTGCAATGACTATAAGTCAAAGTAATAGGCAAAGACTAAAGACAATCTTTGCAGTAATAGCTAAAAATACCTACCATTTGACTGAGCATCTATGGTATGCCAAGCACTTAATGCAACCAGTGCTGCTCTTCCTATTTCATAGAGGAGGTAGCTAAACTTTAGATGAACTATCTAAACTAAAGATACACATGTAGCTGGTAGGTGGGCAGAGAGGAAATTGAAACCTGGGGTGACCTGAATCCAATGTCCATGCCCTTTCCACCGTGCCAGGTAATCCTGTATTAACCTATATATACTTATAATAAGCCTTCCTGAAATAATTTTTAAACACATACACTCCCATATGATCTTGGGTAATTTATTGCTCCTCAGATCCTGAGATCCTAGCCAGATACCATCAAACCAACCCTTCACTGACTCCTCAATTAGACAGCAATTTAAACGTCTGTTCCTGACATCTGGTTGGGGCCAAAACAGCTGGTGTTTGGAGAAGGAGGAAAAATAGTGAATCTAAGTTACTGCATATTTCAAAAGTGTGTATAAACTCCAAGTAGCATCATATGAAGGAGCCACCTGACCAAGGCCTTGCCCCAGTTGGAAATAATTTGTTCTAATATGTGGATCACAAGTTTGCAAAATTGTGAAGTAATCTTGAATTTTATGTCTAATGTTGCTTGGAATTTGCAAACAAAAATGGCAGAAAATAAAGATTTTATTTTTTAAGAAACCCAGTAAATTAGTTAGATAACTTATAGAATGGCCACTTCCATTAAGGACTGCCAAAAATGAAATAGTGTTCATATCATAAATGGTATATTAAGTGAAAATGAAACAAGTTGAAAGTTAAAAGAAGTGAATAGTTTGATCCAGTGTGTATATGCATGTGCACACACACACACATTTGTATTTACATATGTATAGAATACTGCCTCTCTGTAAAAGACGTGTTAAATGGTATGTTAACAGGTTCTGCTGAATCCATTAAAATACTAAAGCATGATTTTTCCCAAAGTTGTTAAATGGTGCTGATAAGTGAGGAGGAAGCTCATAAACAAAACCAATGATTCAGTTCAGCAAATATTTATTTATGAGCACCAGTTAAATGCAGGCTCTGTTCTAGGTGCCTGGGGTACATGTGAACAAATCAGCCAAAGGTCCCTGACCCTTTGGAGCTCACCTCTACTGCACTATCATGATCAATCATTGTAGATGAGTTTAAAATAAAATTGCATGTGCATGCTTCTGAGAATCCAGGAGTGGTGAGAAGCCTGGAATTTAACAATTATTCATTCCCTTCGCCTTTACAGGTCACATTTTTAGAGTGAGGAAAAAGAGTTAATCAATGTTCACTCTGATGACATTCTTTTTTTTTTTCTTGGTGAGGAAGATTGTCCCTGAGCTAACATCTGTGCCTATCTTCCTCTATTTTTCATATGTGGGATGCCGCCACAGCATGTCTTGACAGTGGTGTGTAGGTCTGTGTCCCAGATCCAGGCCTGGAACCCTGAGCTGCCAAAGCAGAGTACATGAACTTAACCACTACACCACTGGGTCGGCCCCAACTCCGGTGACATTCTTGGCCTGTGTTGCCAGTTCTGTTCTGATCCCTGGATCCTGTCTCCTTTACAGAAGCTGGAGGCAGTGTCTGCTGGGAATCCCTAGCTGGAGTGTGGCCAGTTGTTTATCCTTTACCTTGAGATATCCAGGAGGACAGGGGAGGGGGCAGCTATTTCTTCTTCTCTCCTAGAAAGTACATACACATTGGGAGAAAGAATCACGTTGAAAAGATAGAACGCAAAAAATTATTGTAATAAATACATCCTAGGATTCTGCAATATTCCATATTAAACAAAAGAGTCATCTTTTTCTCCTTTCCTTTAAGGTATCCAAATGTTGTGAAGAAGTGAGGGATTATGTTGAAGAAAGATCTGGGGAGGACCCACTAGTAAAGGGCATCCCAGAGGACAAAAACCCCTTCAAGGAGCTCAAAGGAGGTTGTGTGATTTCATAAGAAAAAAAAAATCCTTGGAATATCTTGAGCTTTAATGACAATACTAATTTTTGGTCATATATAATACTATGAAGCATGTACATGAATTTTTAAACTTTTAATAAAAATTGAGATGTGATAATGCATAAGTCTATGTTTTCTTAAAGTATTCAACACAGGGTTTAACGCATAATTGACAATAAATATTAATTGACCCGATTCATTAACAATAATTTCTATGTTTTATGAATAAGTCTATATTATTCTGGTTGCCAGCATATAGTTAATGTTTTATGTTTATTCACTTCCCTTTCAACACTCATAATAATTCACCCAGAAATTTCATGGTTAGACTTACATTTTTCCCAACTTTTCTCTTGCTTACAGAATTAGGAAGTCTATTCTTTTGATCCACAGAAGATCTATCTTGGCAGAATGTGTGCTGGGAAGATTTTTGTTGTGGATTTTTGTTTTCTGTTTGCTTTTCTCTCTCAAACCCCAGTCAGTGGTGACGGTTTTAACAAAACCTCTTCTCACATTCTTACCAATTCTACTTGTCGCTAATGACGAGACGTTTTCCCAGAATGCCAACTGGATTAAGGGTTCAGTCTGTGGTCACAGAGCACAGTGGATTTAACTAGAAGCAGAATAAAGGTTATGAGAAGCCACAGTTTCTGGCTCTGGCACTTTACTGCATAACTGTCTTTGGATAAATTACAAAATCTTTCTTAATCTCAGTTTCTTCTGCTGGGAGTTAGGGATAACAATGGTGCTATTCCCTTTTTCATGGGGTTTAATATTATAATAGGGTGACTGTAACACTTGGCATACTGCCTGGAACATAGTAAGACCTAATAAATGTTAACTAGTATTATTACTGGGCAAGGAACTAGACAAAATATCCAGAATCCTTTAAGATCCATGATATTCCATCCCATGCCCATGAAGACTCTCACCAGTACAGCCCTTTTTCTGTAGCAGTGTAAGGGAGAGATGATAGACAAACAGTATCATCTGCATCATTCTGCTAATCAGTTTCCTCCTGGCATCTTACTGGGTTTGCAGAAACCAAATTTCACTGCTTCTGTGCTAATGACTAAAAGATAACTTGTCTCTGTTTCTGTAACAAATAACCAGTGTTAATTACTCCAACCTGGAAACTGTTTTTGGCGATAGTATTTCCTTGTTGCTGTCTCACATTTACAGGGTTATTTTTGGATACAACAGTGAGTGGAATACTCAGAAATGCAAATTGATTGTCATCCTTTTAAAACAAGGTAAGAACTATTATTTGGGCTGGAAGGCAATCTAAAGGTCATCCCAACTTTTGCCCCTAGAACAGTGCCCTCCCACTCCGGCCAATAGTAAATGCTCAACAAGGATCTACTGACTCTTGTCCAACCCCTTCGTTTTGGAATGGAGAAAATCAAAGCTCAAAGAAGTGAATTGATAAATGTCTCATGTTCAGACTCTGGATCTCTCGCTGAATGGTTAGCAACACACTCTACCACATATCAAACATGCTTTGGATATTAAGGGATTCCAGGATAAACTACTGGAATCTCTTATTTCCTTTTCCTCAGGAGAAGCTCTTTCCCTCCTGTTTAAAACTACAAAACCCTAGAAGAAAACGTAGGCAGTCAGCTCTTAGACATTGGTCTTAGCAATATTTTTGGAGGCCAGTCTCCTCAGGAAAGAGCAACAAAAGCAAAAATAAACAAATGGGATTACGTCAAACTAAGAAGTTTTGCACAGTGAGGGAAACCTTCAACAAAACAAAAAGGCAACTTACTGAATGGGAGAAGATATTTGCAAATTATACATCCTACAAGGGCTTAATATATAGAGAACTTACACAACTTAATATCAAAAAACCAAACAATTTGATTAAAAATGGGCAGAAGACCTGAAAAAACATTTTTCCAAAGAAGATATACAGATGGCCAATATGCACATGAAAAGATACTCAGCATCACTAATCATCAGAGAAATGCAAATCAGAACCACAATGAGGTATCACCTCACACCTGTCAGAACGGCTATTGTCAAAAAGACAAAAAATAACAAGTGTTGGCAAGGATATGGAGAAAAGTGAACCCTTGTACACTGTTGGTAGGAATGTAAATTGGTGCAGCCACGATGGAAAACAGTATGGAGGTTTCTCAAAAAATTAAAAATAGAACTACCATACGATCCAGAAATTCCACTTCTGAGGAAAACAAAAACACTAATTAGAAGTGATATATGAACCATTATGTTCATTGCAGCATTATTTACAATAGCCAAGATATGGAAGCAATCTAAATGCCCATTGGTAGATGAATAGATAAAGAAGATGTGGTATATATACACAATGGAGTATGACTCAGCCATAAAAAAGAATATAATCTTGCCATTTGTGACAACATGGACGGACCTAGAGGGTATTATGCTAAATGAAATAAGTCAGAGAAAGATAATTACCGTATGACTTCACTTATATGTGGAATCTAAAAAACAAAACAAAGGAACAAACAAAACTAAACAGAAACAGACTCAGATATAAGAAACAAACTAGTGGATATCAGAGTGGGGAGGGGTTGGGCGACAGGCGACAAAGGCAAAGGAAATGAACTTCCAGTTATAAAATAAATAAGTCATGGGGGGATGTAATGTACAGCATAGGGAATATAGTCAATAATATTGTGATAATTTTGTATGGTGATAGATTGTAACTAGACTTATTGTGGTGATCATTTCATAATGTGTATAAATATTGAATCACTATGATGTACACCTGAAACTAATAGGATATTGTATATCAATTATACTTCAGTAGGAAAAAAAAATTACAAACCCTCTCCAACCACTCCCAGCACTTCCTGTCTCCCTGTCCCCTGCGATTTTCCTCCACAGCACCCATCGCCATCTAGCATGCTGTGTATTTTATTTGTTTGTTTGTTTAGTTGTGGTCTGTCTCTAGTGGATTTCCATGTGCAATTAAGTGTTCTGTATATCTTTCTTTTTCCTGATTAAAAAATTGCAAATGCTTGGCTATGGCATTTAGTACATGTTAGTCCTAACCAATGTCTCTAGCTTTCATCTAACAACTGGAAATCGATTTTGGAGCCAGATGATTCCAAGTTAAAACCCTGGCTTGTTCACGTTCTAGTTGAGAACTTTGGAAAAGCAACTTCAACTCTTTGAACTTCAGTTTTTTTAATGTATAAAATGGAGGATTAGGATGGATCCTTGCATGAATATTTAAAATCGCTTAAATCAGGGCTGAGCATATAGAAGGAAACGTAATAGATGTCATCTATTTTTATAAGCCCTGTAGACTTCCTGTAGTCAACAAACTTAACAATTAAATAATCCCTGACATGACTCCTCATTTTTCCACCTTCTGGAATTTGGTTACCCTGACCTCTCCACCTGAAGTGTCCCTCCACTGCATCTCATTTCAGCCTTTTGAAATCCTACTGCTCTTCTGAGGCTCACTAAGAACTATCTCTGCTCTCCCCGACTCCATCCCGAAAGTATTTTGTATCTCTTAAGTCATTTAACGTTATTTTGCTCTCTCATTATAATTTGTATGGTTGTCTTAATCTCAATGCTATATTATGAATTTCCCAAGCCAAAAGCTCTACATATCTTTGAAACTGCCATACCAACTAATAAATTGTCTGTGCAATTTAATTGACCGATAAGTGTTTAATTTAATTAAAAGCAGGTAAGGACACCAGTGCAGGCATACGTTGGAGACATTGCAGGTTCAGCTCTAGGCCACTGCAATAAAGTGAATATCTCAATAAAGCAAGTCACATGGTTTCCTAGTGCATACAAAAGTTATGTTTATACTATACTATAGTCTATTAGATGTGCAATAGCATTATGTCTTAAAAACAACGTACATCCATTAATTAAAAACTACTTTATTGCTAAAAAATGTTAACCATCATCTGAGCCTTCAGCAAGTCATAATCTTTTTGCTGATGGAGGTTCCTGCCTCTGTGTTGATAGCTGCTGACTGATCAGGTGGTGGTTGCTGAAGGTTAGGGTGGCTGTAGCGACTGCATAAAATAAGACAACAATGGAGCTTGCTGAGTTGATTGATTCTTCCTTTCACAAACAATTTCTCTGTAGTATGCAATGCTGTTTGATAGCATTTTACCCACAGTAGAACTTCTTTCAAAATTGGAGGCAGTCCTCTCAAACCCTGCCACTACTAAATCAACTAAGTTTATGTCATATTGGTAAATCCTTTGTTGTCATTTCAACAATCTTCACAGCATTTTCAACCAGAAGCAGATTCCACATCAAGAAACCACTTTCTTTGCTCATCCATAAGAATCAATCCCTCATCTGTTAAAGTTTTATCACGAGATTGCAGCAATCCAGCCACATGTTTGGCTCTGCTTTTAATTCTAGTTTTCTTACTGTTTCCACCACATCTGCAGATACTTCCTCCACTGAAATCGTGAATGCCTCAAAGTCATCCATGAGGATTAGAATCAACTTCTTCCAAACCCCTGTTAATATAAGTATTTTGGCCTCTTCCCATGAGTCCTGAATGTTCTTAATGGCATCTAGAATGGTGAATCCTTTCCAGGAGATTTTCAATTTACTTTGAAATTGATCCTCACAGGAATCACTACCTGTGGCAGCTATAGCCTTACAAAATGTATTTCTTAAATAGTTAGACTTGAAAATTAAAATTACCCATTGATCCATGGGCTGCAGAATGGATGTTGTGTTAGCAGGCATGAAAACAGCATTCATCTTCTTGTGCCTCTCCATCAGTTCTTGGGTGACCAGCTGCATTGTCAATGAGCAATAATATTTTGAAAAGAATCTTTTTTTCTGAGCAGTAGGTCTCAACAGTGGGCTTAAAATGTTCAGTAAGTCCTGTTATAAATAGATGTGCTGTCGTCTAGGTTTTGCTGCTCCACTTGCAGAGCACAGGCAGAGTAAATTTAGCATAATTTTTATGGGCCCTAGGATGTTCAAGGATGGTGAATGAGCACTGGCTTCAACTTCAAGTCACCATCTGCATTAGGCCCTAACAAGACAGTCAGCCTGTCCTTTCAAGCTTTGAATCCAGGCA